GTGTGTGTGTGCAGGTGTAGGGATGTGTGTGTGTGTGCAGGTGTAGGGGTGTGTGTGTGTGTGTGCAGGTGTAGGGATGTGTGTGTGTGTGCAGGTGTAGGGGTGTGTGTGTGTGTGTGCAGGTGTAGGGATGTGTGTGTGTGTGCAGGTGTAGGGGTGTGTGTGTGTGTGTGCAGGTGTAGGGATGTGTGTGTGTGTGCAGGTGTAGGGGTGTGTGTGTGTGTGTGCAGGTGTAGGGATGTGTGTGTGTGTGCAGGTGTAGGGGTGTGTGTGTGTGTGTGCAGGTGTAGGGATGTGTGTGTGTGTGCAGGTGTAGGGGTGTGTGTGTGTGTGTGCAGGTGTAGGGATGTGTGTGTGTGTGCAGGTGTAGGGGTGTGTGTGTGTGTGTGCAGGTGTAGGGATGTGTGTGTGTGTGCAGGTGTAGGGGTGTGTGTGTGTGTGTGCAGGTGTAGGGATGTGTGTGTGTGTGCAGGTGTAGGGGTGTGTGTGTGTGTGTGCAGGTGTAGGGATGTGTGTGTGTGTGCAGGTGTAGGGGTGTGTGTGTGTGTGTGCAGGTGTAGGGATGTGTGTGTGTGTGCAGGTGTAGGGGTGTGTGTGTGTGTGTGCAGGTGTAGGGATGTGTGTGTGTGTGCAGGTGTAGGGGTGTGTGTGTGTGTGTGCAGGTGTAGGGATGTGTGTGTGTGTGCAGGTGTAGGGGTGTGTGTGTGTGTGTGCAGGTGTAGGGATGTGTGTGTGTGTGCAGGTGTAGGGGTGTGTGTGTGTGTGTGCAGGTGTAGGGATGTGTGTGTGTGTGCAGGTGTAGGGGTGTGTGTGTGTGTGTGCAGGTGTAGGGATGTGTGTGTGTGTGCAGGTGTAGGGGTGTGTGTGTGTGTGTGCAGGTGTAGGGATGTGTGTGTGTGTGCAGGTGTAGGGGTGTGTGTGTGTGTGTGCAGGTGTAGGGATGTGTGTGTGTGTGCAGGTGTAGGGGTGTGTGTGTGTGTGTGCAGGTGTAGGGATGTGTGTGTGTGTGTGTGCACATGCATGCTGGTGTGCATGCTTGTGCATGTGCACATAGAGTCCAGAGGTTGATACTGGAGATCTTTTTCTATTGCTGTGTGAATCTGGAACTTGTTAGCTGTTCCACCTAGACTCCCTGGACCTGCTTCCCCTGTTCCTCCTACCCCTAGGCCTGGGATTTCAGATGCAGGCTGTATGCATTTATACATGGGTGCTGGGGACTCAAATTCAGGTCCTCTTGCTAGCACAGGGAACATTTTACCTGCTGAGCCATTTCTCTGCCCCCTTGCTCAAGATTTTAAATTATTGAGACTGGTAGATTTGTTAGTCTTTATTGACACTTGCTATGTTATATGACAATTTGAAATATCATTATAAGGGAAAGTCAGACTAGAGATAAATTTAGGTATCTCAGATCCCAAATAGATGTTAAAAAGAGAAATATCACATCTGGGCTGCTAGTTCTGTCATGGTGAGTTGAACCTTTAATTTTATATGTATGTTTATTATAATGATTAACTTAAGTGTTTAGATGAAATCAATTTTCCACCATAATACAGGAACAGCAAACAAACAAAATGGAAGACACAGATTTAAAATGATGTACATGTGACTAGTTTTAAAATGTAACAATGGAATGTAAAATGGAATTGGGCAGATGAGAACTATGACTGCTGTCTTCTACTTTTTTCGTTTTCCTGCATGTATGTGTGGGTGTACATACATATGTGTGCATGCCTGTGGAGGCCCAAGGTTGATGCCAGAACCATCCTCCATCACTCTTCTGCCTTATTCATTGAGGAAAGGGCCTCAATCAAACCCAGAGCTTGCCAGTGTGGAGGTCTTGCTAGCCAGTTTGCTCTGGGGAATTTCCCATTTCTGCCTTCTGTGACTGGAATTACAGGTGGGCCACCATGCTCCCCAGGCATTTATGTGGCTTGGGGGTTCGAACCCTCATTCTCATGCTTGTGTTGTAAGCACTTTAAATACTGAGGTATCTCCCCAGACTAGGCCTTTTGTCTTTTGAAAGATCTGTTTATAAGGATGGTGTGGGAATGACTTTTCTGGGACACTATTTTACAAGGTAAAACAGCTTGCTAGGCTTTACTCTCTTCCTGTAACCTAAACATTTGACTTTAATCCCTCATGATCCTTCTTTGCCCTTCAAAATACTATATGTATGTGTGTGTGCATATTGTGAAAATATCAAAAGCACTGAAAGCAGCAAATATTTGTTGGAAGTAATATATTATCCCATTTGTGCTGCAAATAATAGATGGGATCATATTAATAACATCTTGTTGTGTGTGCCATGCTGTTCTGTGTCAGTAAGGGTCAGAAGGAAGATAATGCCCTGATAAGGCAAGTTTTGCCTTTCCTTCCCTACTTCATGCTGGATGTTCAGTTTTAATAAAGAGAGAGCAAGGCCTTTGTTCGAGAGCAGCACCATTCTGAAAGAAATCTGAGAGCAAGTTCTCAGAACAGATCAGGCCCCACTCTTCATTTTCATGGATACGAAGAGTCAAGCTGTTGTTGTTTGGGCATCACCATGAAGTGTTATTGTACCACTGCAGAATGGCATCTAGGAACTTGGATTTGAGGTGGACTTCCACCATTTCCAGAACTGTGCAGAGCATCTAAATGTTATGCATGAACAATGTGGTTTATAGTAAACACTGGAATTTGGGTACATTTCAGGGAGAGAATGCTTATGTGATCAGCCTTCCACTCCCAGGAGAATCTTTGTCCATTGGAGCTTTCTTGGTTGGTAACATTTCTTAGGTGCTATCACAACTTGTTGCTGGCAAATTAATTATGTTCTGTGGGATGAAGTTGGGAGAAGACACATGAAAGTTGGCTTCCCCCCAGGGAATTTCCCCTTTGACCAAGTTTCCTGCTAGTTTGATTTTAAAAAAATATTTTATTTATTATTTTGACTTTATGTGTATGTGTGTATTGTCTGTACATATGTAAGTAAGTGCACCTGTGTCATGCAATGCCCACAGAAGTCAGAAGAGGGCGTCAGATCCCTGGAACTACAGTTATGGATAGCTTTTAGCTACCATGTGGGTGCTGGGATTTGAATCCAGATCCTCTGGAAGAACATTCACTGCTCTTAACTGCTGAGCCATCTCTTCAGCTCCTGCTAGTTTGTTTTACATAATAAATCATAGCCATGAATATGACAATATGCCACATGCTATAAATCCTAGCAAATTACTGAGGTGGTTGGTAGTTTATACCCTCCTTTTCTGTGTTGGGGAGGGAACCTTAAACTGTCACCAGTTTGAAACCATAGCACAGGGTTAGAGTTTAGTGGTGAAAGGGCACAATAAAAAGGACTAGAGACTAATAGGGTTGCAGGTAAATAGATGAGGGTTTAGTCATTTCAGTGTTTTTAAAAATATACTCATTTTTATTTCATGTGTATGAGTGTATTGCCTGCATGTATGTAAGTGAACCCATGTTGTGTAGTGCCTGCAGAGGTCAGAAGAAGGTGTTGAATCCCCTGGAACTGGTTGTGGGTGCTGGGAATCAAACCTGGATCCTCTGCAAGAGCAGCCAGTGCTCTTAGCTGCTGAGCCATCTCTCCAGCCCCATTGCAGTGTTTTATAACAAATTCAGTAGTATTCTTGTAGGACTTCTGAATGAGTGCAACTATTAAGTTAAGTGAAATTTGTAAGTCATTTAGAAGAGGCTCCCATGCTAGGCTCCAACAGAACAGACCAAACTAGAATGGAATCATTTGTGGTAATACCCCATAATCTAATTGAATCTTAATAATACACTAGTTTGAGGGATAGGGATCTAGTTTCACTTTTCTACATGTCACTATCCAGTTTGACCAGAACCATTTGTTGAATATGCTGTCTTTTCTCCAATGTGTATTTTTTGGCCCCTTTGTTGTAAATGTATGGCCTTAAATATGGGTCCTCAGTTCTGGTCCATTAATCAATGTTTGTTTGTTTGTTTGTTTGTTTGTTTTAGTACCCAGCTGTTTTTATTACTGTAGCTCTGTAGTGTAGTTTGAAATCAGGGATGGTGGTGCATCCAACTATGTTTTTATTGTTCATTATTGTTTTGATTATGCTGGATGTTTTTGTGCTTCCATATGAAATTCAATATTATTTTTCCAATTTCTGTGAAGAATTGGAATTTTAATGGGGACTGCATTGCATCTGTAGAATGCTTTTGGAAGGATGGGCATTTTCACAATATTGATTCTGCTTATCCATGATTCTGCTTTCCATCTTCTGGTAGCTTCAATTTCTTTCTTCATTGTTTTAATGTTTTTATTGCACAAGTCTTTCACTTTCTTGGTTGGATTTATTTCAAGATATTTTAGGGATTTTTGTTTTTGAGGTTACTGTGAATGGGATCATTCGCTGACTTCTTTCTCAGTGTGTTTATTGGTGGTGCTTAGGAAGGCTACTGATTTTTGTGTGTTAGTTTTGTATCCTGCTACTTTGATGAATGCATTTATCTGTCCCGCGCTATCGTCTCGCCAGCAAGAACGATGTGGCACACTCAGGATCCTTCTGCAGAAAAGCTTTAATGCATCTTGAGAGGGAGAGCATAAGCTTACAGGGCGAAGACCCCGAATGTCGGAAACCCAGCCCTTATATAGGTTAGTAAGCCCGTCTTGGACGTGGCAACTCTTGATTGGTCGCAAACTCATCAGCCCATATCACGCCACAAGGTAGGCAGAGACTAGAAGGTGGAAAATTACTTCGGGCATGCGTACTGACTTATTTACTGCTCAGCATGAACCGGATGTGAACGCCATCTTGTAATGGCGTCTGCAGGGACGGCAGGCAGCTCCCCACATCTCCCTCTTTTTACTTTATATGAAGCAAATAGATTTCCCAAAATGAGAGGGTAGAGACAGTGGTCGAACCTCCCAGTTAAAATCTTGATCAGACCATGTATGGGAGTCATCCCTAGGTCTACTCTGGAGCCCAGGATACTCCCAACCTGTCCTCTGCCGTTTTTTCTGGGAAAGGGAAACTCGGGCAGGCAACCCTTATGCGGAACGACATGTCTCTCAGCGGGACAATGACCCCCTGTGCGATACCTTATTCAACAACCCTCTTTGGGTGCTGTGTTGGACACTCTGCCCAGTGCAATGAACCTAGGTTCTGGGCGTGCAAGAGCTATCTTGTCAGCAATCTATTGCTTGAGCATAGTCAACCACACGTCAGTGGAAGCCCCATGTTCCAGGGCCGCAAGTGCATGCGCAATAACCACCTTGTCTCGCTTATTTTGGGTTCTGAGTCTGCAGACCATCCATAGGAGAAATACCAGTCCGCAGCAGACGGCCATACCAAACATTCCCACTCCCACCCATTCCTTGAAGTAGGAAACAGCTGAAGAGATCCAAGATGACAGTCCCTCGGTGAAGGAAAGATCAAGACGTGTGGAGTTGATCTGGAGTACGGCCGTCCTCAGTTCGCGGAGCGTCTGCTCAAATTCAGAAGTCCAATTCTGCAAAATGTACTGAGAAAGGCTCTTAAATAGATTAGCTGCTCTAGTAAAATTTTCATATGGGATAGAAGTAATACATAGGCCAGGGAGCTTCTGCACACACCCCAGCTGTGCCATTTGCCATGAAATATCCAACTGCTCTTGTACTAGATCAATGCGTTGATTGACCAACATAAGGCCTCCTTGTATTTGAGTATTAGCGGAGGTCTGCTTATCTATAGCCAGAAATACTGTGGCGGACAGATCATTAATGCTCTGTGCAGCTTCCATTAACTCCACAGAGCAACCACTGATCAAAAGGGTTTGTGTTAGCTTGGTCGGGGTCCATGACAGTAAAATTTGATCCTCTCCCTATATTGGGAGAAAAAGAGAACAGGCCTTCCACGGCCCACATGGCATCCCTGGATTGGCATCCCGTCCATGGCAAGGCCAATCCTTTATCTTGTCGGCCAGTACAAAACGGGGCCAATTTTGGTTGAATCGGTGGGGCAGAAGTTTTATTAGTAGTGGGAGACCGTGGCCACCACCCATAGAGTACTGTGGCATTTGCCACGATGTTAAAGGCTTTGCCACCAACCGTGGCTTCTTTCAACCATGCTGAAGAAAGATTTCCTAGTATAATACAGGGGCTGCTAAAATTATTTCCTTCTACTAGAAAACACAGACTTCCCTTAAGGGGTATAGTCCTGTTTTCCATAAGCTCCTCAATCTGCTCATCTCGGGGTAGATAGGCAAGGCCTAAATTTTTATTAGTTACAAAGAATCTGGGGTAAACTTGGGCATTATACATCACCAGCATAGGCAGCGGGAAGGTTGACATGATACCCCAGCGTGGTTCCCCTTAAACGAGCCCGACTTCGATTGTCAGGATCATCAGCAGAAGGGGCCTACTCATCTTTACTGGGTGGCTGGGTTGTATGCCTTTCTTGATCCAACAAGATTCGGGTGAGTCTTTCAGGGACCCAAAAAGGATTTTCTTCATTCTGTGGAAAAACACAAACAGCTCCCCTGGATCTTATTAGAATAGGATCCAGGCCCTTCCATGTATTGGTTAGCACATCCTTCCACTTTACAAGCTCCTTAGGCCGTTGAGGCTCTGAGCAATGTCGGTCTGCTGCAGTCTGGCCATGCTCATCCAAATTTAAAAAATTTATAGTAAAGAGTGCTATCGCTATACCAACTCTTGGTGTAGGGGGTAAGTCCTTCATTATTCCCCCTTTTTGTTTTATTAGATAAGATTTGAGCATACGGTGGGCTCGCTCGATGATTCCTTGCCCTTGAGGGTTATAAGGCAGGCCTGTGATATGAATAACCTGCATATGTGAGCAGAATTGTTTGAATTTTTGAGAGGTATAAGCAGGCCCATTATCAGTTTTAAACATTTGGGTTTTCCCCAGG